TTGTAACCGTCCAAAAATCGAAATTGAAAATTTTTGCATTTCTCGACGTTTTGAAGGTTTCTGAACATTTTGGCATACTTCAGAAAAAAATGCTGTTGTGTGTGTTTTGTGTGTCCGCATTTTTTCGTTCACGTTGTCGGGCGCACGGATCAACCGATTTGAATGGTTTAAAAAACATTCGATTCCTATTGATAGGGAGATGTGCTGATTAGTTTTTGGCAAAGCCAGGTCCAGCAGTAACGGAGATGAAGAGCAAAAAATGCAGAAAATAGAAATCGAGTTTTTGAGAGAAAGGAGAATCCGATTTGAATTATCTAAAAAACATTCAATTAGTAATGATTGGGAGAAGTGGTTATTAGTTCTTGGCAAAGGCAGGCCCAGCCATTTCGAAGATACAATGCTAAATGTGCAAAAAATGGCAGTTTTTGAGAGAACTAAGCGTCCGATTTAAATGATTCAAAGAACTTTCTACTTGTTTGAACAAAATAATTGATTTTGGAAAGAAAATTGTTTCAAAATTTTTTTTTCAATTTTTTTTTCAAAAAAATTTTTTTTTTTGTTTATCGAAAATAATTCAGATTTTATTTTTAATTCTGACTAAAGTTCTAATATACTTTAAACAAATAATTTCAACTTTGCAATTCAGTTTATATAATTCTTATATTAGACAATGTTACAATATTTATTATAGTCTATTTGATAACATTCAATATTCCTCGAACATTTCGTTACGGTACGGGAAGTTCCAGCAATTTGCCTTAAGGCACGATGCCATACACCCCACTAGTTTTATTTGTATTAAATTTGTATTTATATTTCAGTATATTTGCACGTACATTCACTGAACTCATAATTGAGTTGTTTATAGAACTGAAATAAGATCCAAATACTAGGCGTGCGCGTGCATGGCAACATGCCTTAAGACAAAAGTACAAAAAATAAACTTTTGAAAAAAGCTTTTCTATTTTTTAAATACTTTGCAAAGATTAGATTTTTAAATGTTTTGATATTTTAAAATTTTTGAACTTTTTTGAATAAGTTGAATTTTTTTATATTCTAAATTTGTTTGAAAATCCTTAACTTTTTCAAAGCAATCGCGTTGCAAAGCTGTTTTAGAAACGAAATATCGAAGCACTCCCATATAAATGGCCAAATGGCTTTTCTCTTTACTTCCTTTTTATTGGATTTCCAGAACCGCTGGACCTATCTTCTCAAAACTTTGATCAGTTACTTTCTTCATTCGTTCTTCATTTCGTCAATACAAATAAAATGTTTTGTAATCATTCAAATAGGTCGTTCTGTTCTCTCAAAAACTGAATTACCAATTTTGTCACTTTTTGCCCCGTACCTTTTGAGCTGCTGGAAAAACTAATCAGCACGTCTCCGCATTAATACAAATCTAATGTTTTTGAATTATTTAAATTTTAGCTAACTTCAAAAAAACTACTCATTTTCTCAAACTTTGATGAATTTTTAAAATTAAACTACTTGTCGTAAGTAGTGTTAGAACAAAATATCGAGTACTGAGTAAATATCGATACTTTGCGGTCGATAGTGAGTACTTTTGGTATCGATTTTCTAGCTCGATCTATTTGCCAATATCGATCTTTTTCGTCGATAGTACTCAAAAAGAATCGACAGCGTAATCTATGAACACCACTCTAACACAACTCATTGCAAATGCAATACAATAGTCTCTCTAGGTGGTCGTAACTGTTCAAAGAATTGTCCAAAAACGATCCCTCAGGGTCATCAGCCTCAAAAACCCAAAATTAATATGACCATACTAATAAATAAAGATGTTTATTTATTACTCTTATGTAGAATGAAACGGATTTTAAAATTCCTTAAATGTTTTATAAAAACATATTCAACAAATAAAGTATGATTATTTTGCGTTTACTATTATGTACCTTTTCGGCGGACTATTGTAAATCCATTAAATTTACTGAATGTCCTATACTGGACAGTTGTAAATAAAAGAGTTAATAAAAAAAAAAAGGTTGCGTTTACTTTAATTTAATATTTTGATTCTTTTTTACGCAAAATACTAATACATAGAAATTGATGAATATTATTATTTGAAATAATTATATTTCGATTCTTTTTTACGCAAAATACTGATATATAGAAATTGATGAATATTATTATTTGAAATAATTATATTTCGATTTTTTTTACGCAAAATACTGATATATAAAAATTGATGAATATTATTATTTGAAATAATTATATTTCGATTCTTTTTTACGCAAAATACTAATACATAGGAATTGATGAATAATATTATTTGAAATAATTATATTTCAATTCTTTTTTAACGCAAAATACTCATGTTTTGAAATTTTTGAATTTTAACATGCAAACATATGGGTTTGAGTTTCTCGGAACCATTTAAACTTTAAATCCCATCGCTCCGAAGGGATATTTCTCTACAAGTGTCGAAGATAATATATCTTGACCGTCATTAACAATAAACTGAATGTTTCAAAGAGCTTCATATTGCAGTTTTATGCAAACATGTAACGGTTTTTTAAAGTTGCTCAAATTATTCATATAAAATATTCAACAATTATAAAATATTATTTTACTTAAAAATATTAAAATATTATTGTTCAGACTATTATATTGTTTTAATCAAAAATACTCAACTATTATTCTTTTTTTTTTTTGAAAAATTATAGAATTTGAAAGTAGTATTGAAAAATTACTGTTGAAATTTTACAATATTGAAAATGATTCTGATTTAACACATCAGATACAAGCAATAGAATTCATTCTAATATTGTGATATGATATTTAATGAATTTTAGATCTTTCTTGCACTTTTTTATGAAAAGTACTCAAAATTCGATATTGAGTACTATCGATACTTTCGCCACGATATTTTTTTGGCATCGATATTTTGATTAGATACTTTTCAAAGTACTCAATATCGATCTTTTGACTCGATACTTCTAACACTAGTCGTAAGGCCGTAATATTTCAGTAAGTTCCATAAATCCATGATATATATCGCTAAAAAAAGTTCCATAAAAATCGGTTAAATTTTTTTTTTCAACAGTTAATTACAAGAAAACGGCTCGGTAGATTTTCACCTAAAACTAATCAGTATCATTCTTAACTAATATCTTTCGAACAGTTTTTGATTTTTTAAAATCGATTCGGTAGTTTGAGCTTAAATGGATGAAATGTTTAACACACTTTTTTCAAATTATAAAGAAACGGCTCGGCAGAGCGTCTCACAAAACTGAAAATTATAGTCCTCATCGAGATACATCAAATAGCTTTTAAATTTATGTAAACGGTTCAGGCGTTTTTTGAGAAAACGTCCGATCAAAGGTTAAATTTTGTCAAATGCCAAAAACAATACCAATATGATATTTAATGAATTTTAGATCTTTCTTGCACTTTTTATGAAAAGTACTCAAAATTCGATATTGAGTACTATCGATACTTTCGCCACGATATTTTTTGGCATCGATATTTTGATTAGATACTTTTCAAAGTACTCAATATCGATCTTTTGACTCGATACTTCTAACACTAGTCGTAAGGCCGTAATATTTCAGTAAGTTCCATAAATCCATGATATATATCGCTAAAAAAAGTTCCATAAAAATCGGTTAAATTTTTTTTTTCAACAGTTAATTACAAGAAAACGGCTCGGTAGATTTTCACCTAAAACTAATCAGTATCATTCTTAACTAATATCTTTCGAACAGTTTTTGATTTTTTAAAATCGATTCGGTAGTTTGAGCTTAAATGGATGAAATGTTTAACACTTTTTTTCAAATTATAAAGAAACGGCTCGGCAGAGCGTCTCACAAAACTGAAAAATTATAGTCCTCATCGAGATACATCAAATAGCTTTTAAATTTATGTAAACGGTTCAGGCGTTTTTGAGAAAACGTCGATCAAAGGTTAAATTTTGTCAAATGCCAAAAAACAATACCAATTTTTGCAAACTTTGACGATTTTTCAAAGTTAGACCAATTGTCGTGGAGCCGTAATATTTTAGTATGATCTAGAAGTCTATGGTATCTATCGTCAAAAAAATAATAATAAAAATCGTCGAAAAAAATTTTTTTAACACTTTATTACAAGAAAACGGCCCTGCCGATCACTACCAACAACTCATCAGCACAATTCCCAATCAATATCTTTCGAACGGTTTTTGAAATTTCAAGATCGATTCAGAACTGCGGGCTAAAACGTGGATGAAAAAATTTTCACTTTTCAGCTATTTACAAAAAAACTGCTTGGCTGATCGTCGCGCAAAATTGATAGACGCTAGTCCTCATCGAGATACATCGAATGGCTTTTAAATTTTTGAAATCGGTCCAGCCATTTTCGAGAAAACGTCGATTTACGGCAAAAAATCTGTTAACACACACACATACACAAACTTTTTCCAAATTTGGTCTCATTCGATTCAGAATGGCTTGAAACGTCGAGAAAACATAAAATTAGCGAATCGGATTTTTTGATGAAAACATAAACTTCTCCTTCGGGAAGTTAAAAATTAAATAATATAAAAAATTTCAATTCGATTTTATTGCGATTATTATAATTATAACTAACCTACAAAAAGTTTATAAAAATGTTTCCAACTACTGTCCATCAACATCATCCATCCCACGAACGCCACAACACTACACACACTCTATACAAGCTATACACAAGCCCACTGTCGCACTCTATAATTACACTACAGACACTCAGCTATTAATGTACACGGGCACAACACTATAGTGCACCGTCAACACACACAAACTAACTGGATTGTTGTCAAGGAAGCGACTCAACAGCGAGCATGAAGACACATCGGCCCGCCTTGTCACTTTTCTATAATAATAATAATAAACTTCTAATAATTGGCTTCTATTTTATATTTTGCATTCGGATTGAATTGCATTCGTATCAATATTCATAGTGAGGTAGAATTTATTTGGATTTCGTGGCGAAAAGTTGAAACATATTTACAGGTTTTTCGTTAAAATAATAAAAGTTGGTGCAATAGTCGGTTTAGTTCCGGGTACGGTTGTAGCAAATCAACATGTTGGAGCAGTGATGTCATGCAAAGTGTGTTAATATTAGTGTAAGTAAATAAATTAATATATTTCTAATCTAATTTTAAATGGTGAAGGTTTTATAGTAATAAAAATTAATAACTAGTGATGTATGGGCATCGTGCCTTAAGGCAAATTGCTGGAACTTCGTACCGTAATTAAAAATCTTGGTACGGAACCAAAAAAAAAATTACACAAAATGTGTACACTTGATAAAATCTCTATAAAATATCTGATAATTTGATGTACATATGTCCAATAAATATTTTTGACCGCTAAATGACATTTTTTAGTTATGTTTATTGAGAGTCCAAAACCCTGGACCTGCCTTCCCAAAAATCAGTTAATCATCTTGTCAATACAAGTAAAATCTTTTGTGAATTATAAAATCGGAAGCTCCGTTCTTTATAAACTAAGTTACAGTTATAGGCACTTTTTGCTCCGTACCTAAGGAACGGAAACCTGCCGCCGCCAAAAAACTAATCAGCACGTCTCCTTATCAATACAAAACGAATGTTTTTGAAATATTCAAATCGGTGATCGGTGTTCCCTAAATCGTGGACGAAAATTTGTATCCACACACCCACATATACACATACACACACACATATAAACATCCATTTTTCTAATGGTATGCCAGAATATTCAGAAACCTTTGAAACGTAAAGATATATAAAAATTTTCATTTCGATTTTTTGCGATTACTATAACTTTACTGAAGCACATAGTCAAAAATATTCATTTAAAGTATATAAGTGAACTTTAAAACTTTAGCCAGAATAAAATCAAATCTGAATTATTTTCGATCTACAAAAAAAGAAAAATGAATGAAATTTTTTCTCCAAAAGCAATTGTTTTTTCAACACAAGCCAAAAGTTTTAAATCATTCAAATCGGATGCTCCGATCTCTCAAAAACTCGATTTCTTTTTCTGCACTCTTTGCTTCGTATCTCTGAAACGGCTGGACCTGCCTTTGCCAAAAACTAATCAGCACATTCTTATCACTAGGAATCGAATGTTTTTTAACCATTCAAAACGGTTGATCCGTGCGCCCGAAAGACGCGGACGAAAAAATGCGGACATACTAAAAACATACACCACACACACACACACACATCCATTTTTTCTGAGGTATGCCAAAATGTTCAGAAACCTTCAAAACATCGAGAAAGCAAAAATTTTATTTTCGATTTCGGCCACTTATATAACTACCCTACGGAAGTTAAAAATGAAACAAAGTAGCCATCAAATAATCAATATAAACTAGAAACAACTATGTTAGATATAAACATTTTATAAAAGGGCATACAATTCGAGTCTCCATTCAGCCGTGGGTACAAAAACGCGCATTAGTCATGTTCGTAAAATAGAATAACTTATATATTATTATTATTTATATAAAATTTAACTATTCGCATATTAAAATCATATCTTACCGAGAGGAAATTCTACTTTAGCTTGGCAAACCAAACCTCACCCTCAGAAACATTAACTATGGCGTTTCCCAATGTAGCGTGCTAGGTCCTATCCTGAACGCCCCAAAATATGTACCGGTATGGCTGCTCCACACGGGCCTGCATACGGTAGAAGAAGAAATTACAAGATACGCCATCAAACACAGTCACCGACTGGAGAACCATCCCAACGGGCTCGCCAAGGCACTCATCTCAGCAAACTACACCAAAGAGATTAAAAAGGAAAACGCCTTTGGACCTAACTGGCATCCCAAGTCAATCTAGATCATAATATTTTCTTAAATTAGGAGAGATTGCAACTGTGCACTCTCTCAAGCATTCAATAGTTTATTTTGCAGACAGCTTCTTTGTTATTTTGTTATTCATAAAATTTACCTAATGTCCATTGGCATTCAATAGTTTATTTTGCAGACAGCTTCTTTGTTATTTTGTTATTCATAAAATTTACCTAATGTCCATTGGACAGATGTAAATTATATCCAAAATAAAAAAAAATATTATATAAAATTTAAATGACCACACCACAATGTTGAATTGTGAATTAAACTGACTTTCGTCGGTCGTCAAAACTATGGTAACTCAATTGTAAGCATGATCCGACGGGTGGAATCCAAAACTGTACCGGCTTATCGAGACGATTCTTCAATACACTCATCACTGATTTTAAGAAAATAAATGTAGAGTACTTAAAAAAAATTATATTTAGAAAAGATTCACTTTCTAATATTGCTTACCAATCGGGTGTTTGGAAAAAGGAGTCAGCAGAAGCCATGTCCACTTTGTAATTTTGAAACGAATCGCGATAGAATCAACCGAGACATTAGATCAGATCTAGTATCTGAGTAACTTCAGATACAATTTCGATCTATGACGAACAAGATATATATTATCTTGTAAGTATTAAGTCCGATTGCTTTTACAAAAGCATGATTAAAATCAATACCGGACTTAATACTTATTTCACAAAAATCCAATGACACTTTCACTGAAAAAAAAACACACACAGTATCAGTTAGTATAAGCTCAAGTATCTGCACTAGATGTCCATCATCGCATTCAACATACTGATATAGACCATACCTTTGCATGAAATGTGGCGGAAAACATAGTTCACAAACATGCCTGAAGCCAAAGTTCACACACATGCTTGAAAACCAGCTACCTGTGTAATGTATATTTCAGTAATAGATGCACAATTTTACATCTTCATTTAGAGCAGCATCAAAAGGAAAGTCCTAATATAAAATGTTTAAATAGAATATCGACAGTTTCTGATAGAATACAATCTTGAATCAATTCGCTGCGTAAATGATATTATAATGTGGATCTAAAAAAAGGAAGAAGCGCAGTAACAAATAAAGAAATTAATTTGAATAAGAGATATCTAACGTGGAAAAAGTTAGTAAAATGTATTAAATAATAACGTTTAGGGAAAAGATGATATCAAAGAAAGACAGATGATTACTATGTTATCGTTGGTCAGCAATTGTTTAATATTGTTGGAGAGTATTTCCATAAATAACTAAATAGTTTTAATTCTACGATAATTTTATTAGACATCGATTAACGGAGATAATTTCTATACAATATTTTATTTATATATCACAAATGTCATGGCACATTTAAAATAACTTGCAGCTAATTTGCTCCATACTGCGGCCTCAAACGTTGGCATAAATTTTATGAACTATTTACTTATTGAATAGTAATGGCGACTTATTGAATAGTAATGGCGACTTATTGAATAGTAATGGGAACGTATTCATAATTGGTATTGTATATAAATTCTTTGAAGTTTGTGTTTGTGTCACTGTTTGAATTTATAATATGTTACATAATTGTGAATTTACTTCTTTAACTTTTCTTCTTGTTGGTCAGTAACTTGATGATTAGCTGGTAAAATTATGGGGTGCATCTGATTATGTGAGATATTTGCGTTTAGCAGCCTTCCGCCCGCTTTCAATAATGATTTTTTGAACACAATGAAATAATGGAGCTTGTTTGTCACTTTATTTAATTCTGTATTGTAAATTTTTCTTTGTAGTTGACGTATGATATCGTGACTCCTTTAATTATTTTTTTAAGCGAATCTTTTTCTTTTTTTTTCTAGTTAACTAAGATTTGTAATTAACTTCACGAATAATTGCTTCTTGTTTATCTTGTCTATCATTTTCTAATTCCGTATTATTGTTTGACGATTTGCGTGATTACAAAACAACCTTCCGCTAAAAGATTACCAGCTTTCTTGATTAGTAATTTGACTTCTAATAAAGTATCTACATCTTTGTCATCTACATAATAATAATCATATAGTGAACTGTTAGATAGCGCTGAATATTTCTTACTGTGCTGTAATGCTAGTTTATCTACCAATAATGATATTTGTTAACGAGCTATATGTGAATTTTGTATTAAATTGAATTTTTGTGATTCTAGTAGTGCTATTGAATTTATTTGTGTCTGGCATAAGAATTCTGATTATACTGGTTTGCTGTTCCTTTCTGTGTTAGGAACTGTTTCTTCTTCTAATTTTGCAACTCTGTTGTTGAGTTCAATTACTTTCTGGTTTAGCTTAACTACAATTTGATGGGCATCCAAAAATCTTTCCAAACTAGTGAGGCGCATGGTATCGTGCTTTAAGGCAAATTGCTGGAACTTCTCGTACCGTAATTAAACATTTGAAGAATAAAAATAATCAGTCAACAAAAATGTCTATGAATAAATATTATAAAACAAAATCACAAAAAATATGAAAACTTATTAGATTAGACGACGTTGTTTATATATGTTTGAATGAAATATATAATATAAAATAAGAATGAACATATTTTACTTCAAATGTATCAATTTTTCGTTCGCGAAATATATGCACTGAGTTAAGAATTTTAAATAGTTTATGCAGTATCAACAATACAAACATAAAAAGTATTAGATTTTTTTTTTTAAATATTACAGACGTGGGATTCGAACCCGATCATTCTCGACTTTCTTATCAACTAACGCGAACGGTGACGCGTTAACCAACTCAGCTATGACGACATGTGACGCGAAACACTATTAGCACTTTTTGTATCTTCTGTATCTTCGAAACGGCTGGACCTGCCTCTACCACAAACTAATCAGAACGTCTCCACATCAATACGGATCAAATATTTTTTGAATCATTCAAATCGGACGATTTGTTCTTAAGAACCTGCCATTTTTTGCACATTTAGCTCTTTATCTTCGAAATGAGTGGGCCAGCTTTTGCTAAAAACTAATCTCCTCTTCTCCCAATCATTACAAATTGAATGTTTTTTAGATCATTTAAATCGGGCACTCCATTCTCTCAAAAACACGATTTGTATTTTCTGCACTCTTTGCTTCTTATCGAACAAAGCGTCCGATTTGCATTATTCAAAGAACTTTTTGCTTGTTTCATAAAATAATTGCTTTTGGAAAAAACATTTTGTTTCTATTTTTTTTTATCAAAAACCTTTTTTTTCAAAGTGATTTTTTTGTATCGAAAATAATTTAGATTTTAATTTTTATTCTATTCTAATATACTTTAAATA